CACCAGTGTGTGAATGCGAGAGTGAATGAATAGTGGCATTGTAAAGCGCTTTGAGTGCCTTGAAAAGCGCTATATAAATCCAATCCATTATTAATATTATTTCTGCAAGCACTCAACTTTTCAGCAAGAATACATTAAACAGCAAGTATACTGGCAATTATCCAGGGAGAGGAGTTCAAAACAGCAGCTTACCTGGCTATAACAAGACACACTTTTTGTTAAAAAATATATTTTGTAAAACAAAAAAACCCCATTTTGTTGAGACATCAACATTATCTTGAGGGAATAAAAATGCATTAAAAGTGTCAGAATATTTAACAGTAGAAGAAGAAGAGCGAACCATGTAGCAAACAGGAGACAGAGACACAACAAAGGACAAGTGAAAAAGAAAACTGATGATCAGAAATAAAAATGTCCTCAGAACAAATACAGTCAACAACACTTTTTTGTTATTGTAGTTCACATTTTAGGATGAATGAAAGAAATCCAGTCAATTTGTTGCCTTCTAGTGTTTATGGACTAATGAGAAACAAAGAAAACTATGACCTGAGAACAGTAAATAAAGCATGACACTGACAGGGTTTTTTATGTATTCATTCTTTCTGACTTGCCAGATTGTCAGGTACTAAATCAGTATCTTTGTGTTACAGGGTGGAAGTAGTTTTCATGTTTTTATACTGTGTGCTTTGTTGGTTTGGTTTTATAATATAGTTTTATGCATGTTTGTATATTTTTTGCATTTATTTTGAGGTTGTTACATGTACCTACCAGTGACTATTCAAAGAAATCATCCACACCTGCTCACTCTGCATAAAGATAAGAGGTGAGGACAGTCAAGGAGCTTGTACAGAAGGAGTGCAAGCCACAGCAGAGCATCAGCAGCAACAGGATGGATAGGTCAGAAGGATACTAAGAAGATGGGACTGGAATTGTCTGTGGAACCAGTGTTGGAACCCTGTAGAAGGCCTTTCCCAGTGAGACAGAACCAGTGAAAAGTGTGATTTCTGTGATGGTTGGTGCTAGAGCATCTGTTTCAAGACTGTTACACCTGGGCATATAGTATATAAGTGGGGCTTCTTGTTTGTCTTTTATTGCTTTTTAAATTCCCTGGGCCTGTTTTATTGTAAATAAATTACTGCTGCTCATGTGTTTTGTACTCCTTGGCTACCTTTTATTTTAGCTCCTCTCCAGCAGATGGAAAAGGACCTCTCTCTTTCTTCTCCTTTTCCCTCTTCATTACATTTAGTCCACATCAGCATAGGTGAGCGCGAACAAGAAGAGTAGAGATTGTATTATATGTACGGCTTGGTAAAATAGTCTGAATATTGCCCATTTAATTTTCCCAAAGGGCCACATGAGAAACTCAGACTGTTTTGGAGAACTGCACCAAATGTTTTCTGGGTTTTTTTCTGATGCACAATGTTTTGGTGTATAGTCTGAATAACACATCTGCCTATCTGACAGCCAACCATGAGCACACATTTCTGTATTGGATCGAATTCACTAAAGGCCATTCTGGAAAATAAATAAATAAATAAATAAAATGAAGGGGTTGTCTTATATAGTTTAATTTCATCAAAAATATATGTCTCATGTAGCTTTTGCATGTACAGTGTGGCTCACACACAACCCTCAGCCAAACAGCCATCAAAAGAACTTCTTAGGCTTTATACCATTTAGTCAAGCAAAATTAGCATATCATATATTCAGCAAGAAGGCTATCATACAGCCACCTCACAGCAACCTGTTTTAACAAGCTTGATTTGGGAGCCACTGGTAGAATGAGATATTAAATATAACAAAACACGTCCTGATCTAAAGGTAAAGTAATAAATCTTTATTTTTTTTCTTCCTTGCATGACATATATTGACCTCCAAATGAATACACAGACCTTTCTTTGCCGTCTTTAAAGTTGCATGATAACAAGTCTCCCACTTCAGCTGAACTTGTCTGTGTTTAACTTGAGCTTTCATTTTGTAGCCTTCTGTCAGTTATGCTTGTTAGCTTAAAGGTGCTGTGAAGGTGAGCTTTGGGGTGCACATCACTGTGCATACCACGTTTTGACAGGCCAAAATTGATTAAGAACCTGTAGTGATATGTGGGCAGGATTGAAATTTTGCAAATGGCTGGATTTGGACACAGCTGCACAGGGTTCATGCAGCTGCTTCTTTTCACCAGCAGGTGGAGAACATGTTTCAGTGTTCCTATTTGACATGTTTCTTAGTTCTTTTGGATGATCTACTTGAACTACTGTATAAAGTTTATTAAGTAATCATGATATCAAGTCATATCATTTATAACACTGCAGAAAACTCTGAAATGTGCGTCAAAGAAAATGTGGATGGACATACTACTAGAGTAATTTTTGATGTGCAAATACTTTAACCCTAGTCTCAAGCAATGAAGTTGTTCGATAAGGAGTCTTCGAGTTGTCAAACATTTGTCGCCCTCTACAGTTTTCGAGTATGACCTGAGAAATGAGAAATCCTTAAAGACGCTATGAACTAATATAGCTGGAAAGAGTGGGATTCTTCTGTATTCATGGTTATTGACTTGCCAGATTGCCAAGTACAAAGTCAATCTGTACGGCCGTATAATGACGATAAACGTCATTCTCTTTTCATTCTAGATCAGCAAGATCCCTAATAGCTAATCTTCTAAAAGCCTAAGTGTTGTGTTGGTGGTGACGTTTCGTGATCGATTGTCCCCTCTGCATCCTTTTAATGGTACGGTCCGTTGCCTAGGTGCTGGTAGAAGCCAATTTACACTGCCAAGCCTGTCCACAGCCGTCCGTATTTACTCTAAAAGGTTCGTAGAACTTTAACTTTGCATTATGTGCTCAGCTTTACCGCCTCGGAGAAGTTAGGGTTAAGTAGGAGTCTTAAGATATCACAGAGTCTATCTTTTGCTGCCAAGCGGCCAGTGGTAAAAGCTATGGCTACCGTTAGCGAGCTAGCGTTAGCTCAATGTGAAGTATGCCTTGGTAAGTTTGGAAAGAACTTTGCTAACTAGCATCGTGGGAAGTCACATCTGTCTGTTTTCGTTGTGTAATATCTTACTAAAACAGCTTGTCTTGGTTAACACATCTGTGATTGTTACATATCTCTGACTGGAGATCTTGCCAAAAGAAATATAAAAATCCCCGTTTGCTCCTCGTCGTCAGACATTTTGGAAAGAAAGGTTAGCCGGGAAAAAAAGATGTTTTTTTTAACAAAATTAAATGATCCTTGTCTATTATTGGGAAGACACTTGCATTGTTTTTATTGCAGGGAATTTTCATAGATCTCCCTGCTCCATGAAATCTTCCTAAATGTTGGAGAGGAAGCTTAGGGCTAGATGTGTTATCCTTACCATTTAAGGAAACAGCAGATAAAATAGCTCACCAGTTTGGAGTTTTGCATAGCCTCGGGTGATTCAATGTGTGTCAGCTGTTAAAATGCATGTGCCTGTCGCAGGTAGTAGGTAGATAATCTCTAAGCTTATGACTGCCTGTCCTACCTGGCAGCACTGTTCTAAAGAATCGCGTCTTTCACAGAGCGGACATGAGATACTGGATGGATTACTCCAGCAATGTGAGTGCTGAAGTTTGAGGATCTGCTGATCTCTGGCGCATCGTTGGAGCCTGAGTTAGCAGAAATGTTGTGTGGGATCAGTACTTCGACTGATGGAGATAAAATTCATCCCTTACAGACGCTGCTGTGCCAAACTTAATTTGTAACGATGGATAATAAAGAGGTAACACAGCATTGGCTACTTTTGAGATACACTAGACCTATCTGCTATGCTCCTATGTGCTGGCCAATGTAACTTTTCTTCAACTATGAAAACACTGTACCTAAACTGGTTTTGGTGGCGAATAAATCTTGCACGCACAATCACCAAATTTCTGATCTTTTAACCATTTAGTCCGCGATAGCATAGACCAGGTGGTGCAATGTTTGACTACAACAAGTACATGAGACCTGATACCCAACCTGTGACAATATGCAAGATGTTGTTGGAGCCGTGACAGCTCCCAGAGTAGTATGCAGTTTGCATGACCGCTGGCTCCAGTTACCAGCCCTACAACGTACAGTGTTGAATTCTGCAACATGTGTTCAATGTCACATCATTGAACCGTGTGCCACTGCAAAAAGATATACCATTGTTCATTATGCTTAGTCTTGTAGTTAGCTAGCAGGAAAACTGTATAGAAAAATACTCAAAATGTAAAACTTTTTCACTCTTACTTAAATAACACTGGAGTTGAATAAAAATTAGCAAACAAAGAATTATAATACCCAAAGCTGCATATGCAACGGCAAGATGACTGGAAGGAGTGTACATGTATAAATTCTTAAAAGCTGCAGGTAAACATTGCATTAAAAAATATGATAACTGGACCTTCTCCGGACCTTCAGGTGTTGACGGAGCTGGACAAGATTTCTAGGCGGCTCCAGGAGGATGGCTTATCGCCAGGGGCCAATGGAGAAGAGAAGCAGTGCCACCTTTGGCAGCAGCTTCTCAACAGTGAGGCGAAGCTTCATGCAGCTACCCAAGAGGTGCAGACCCTACGTGTGCAGCAAGCCAATGAGATGAAGGAGGTGAGACTCTCCTTTGTTGTTTTATTTGACCAACTTTCATCATAGAGTGAGCCAATGATGTGTAATGAAACGCCCAAAAAAAACAGTCTAAAAAGAACGTGTCACTTTTCACATGAAGTACAATCATGAACATGTGCGGGACACATCAGTGTCACAGCTAAATTACACTGCAATTCTTTTTGTCTATCAGCTGGAGAGCTATGTTGCACATATTCGTGGGCTGTTAGAAGAGCGAGAGGGCCTGGCTGCAGAATATGAAAGACATAATGAACAGCTGCAGCATGAACTTCACCAGATTCAACACCAGCTGGGTGAATTTTTCACAACTGTAGTACAATGTGTTGGGCATTTTTTCCTTTGGGCTATACCCTAGCTTTGCTTACCAGTGGAAATGTACTTTGTAATTACTATGTTGCTGTAGAGCATCATTTGTTCGTATGTGGGGTTTTTTTTATAATTGTACATGACAAACTGCTGACCAGAAGAAAACCCTCCTTTCTTCTAGAGAGTCAGAGCAAGGAGTTGGCAGAGATGCTGGCTCAGGAGGACCTGGTGGAGATGGGCTTGACCAGCCCCAGTGAGATAGTGGCCTATTTACTGGTGGAGAGGGCCACACTGCTGGAAAGGTTGGAGGCTACTGAGAGGAGACTGGAAAGTCAGAGTCTCAGTGTTAACTTGAAGGAAGTTGACCACCAGGTAAAGAGCTGACCTACGTAAATCAAAGGCTTTATTTGGAAGTCAGTTATCTCATGGGACCAACGTAATTTTGAAATGTTTTGAGAGCTAATAGAGTAAAATAGTATGCCCAAAGGCTTCATGCTTGTAGTGAAAAGCAATGGTTAAAGCTAACACGTGCAAAGACTGTATGTGTATGTAAAATGCTAAGTAAGGCCTTGTCTCTTTGTGACATTTGGACAGGAGTTTATTTGCCATATGAGGGGGGATGACCTGAGACAGCAAAAGGAGGATCTCCAGAAGACCTTCAATAACGCAGTGAAGGTGAAGTAGCGTTCATTTTGCCCTGGCTGAGATCCATGTCCGAATAGTGTTTGTTGTGAGTGTGTATACAGTGGTTTTTCCTCTCAGCAGTGCTCATCCCAGAGTCCATGGAAGAAGCTGTTTGGCCTTCGCAGGTCTGGTCAGAGCAAGCACAGTATTAACCCTGTAGGTCTCCACTTTAAAGCTTATGCTAAGTAATTTAACAGTGGTATCATGATAAAGAGCCAAACTTCACCGGCTTGTTTCAGAGGGCCACTGCTTTTTGAAATGTTTTCCACATTAATAATATACCTTGTTATCTGCATGACTGCTGTGCTGCAGAGCATTTCACTAATACATCTATAAATGCATTTTTTAAGGGTGTCCCTGGTTCTTAATGGTTACAAAACATTTGACTGTCTGCGTGGACCTTTGCTGCATGTCATACCCTCCTCGCACCTCAACAATTTCCTGTCTACTGTGGCTGTCACACAAAAAAACTGATTTAAAGAACATAATTTATCATAGGGCAGTGATGGCGTAACACAGGTAACAGCATGTGCACTTTTGGTCTTCCTGGTCTCTCTGTGCAGGTGAATGCTGGGATATAAATATATACTTAATTTCCCCTGCTTTGTTCCAGGCCTGCAGAGATGATTACTCGCAGTCTGAAAATGCATGTCTCTAACAATTGCATGTTGGGTCCATGCATCTCCAGTCTACCATTCCTACCATTTTTCTTTCCTCCCCTTTCTCCTACTCCAGTTGTTAATCCCTTATTTCCTGTACATCAGGCCCACAGTGAGGAGATTTCCCAAGAGCGAAATGAGCGTCAGCGACTGGAACGGGACTTAGAAGAAGCATCCCGGAGGCTGGCGATGGCTCATCAGGATATCCGCAGACTCACTAATGAACTGGATGCTGCCAAAAACAACAACCCAGACCCAAGCGGTATGTTGCAGTTACAGTATGGTCCTAAATTTCTGCCCTGCACACACATCCTATTAACCTTTCCAGTGTTTAAAGTCAGCATAACAATAGCTTTGATGTCTTCCCCTAATGAAATGTCAGTTACCTGTTATTTATACCCATAGATTTTGGTAACATACCTCATCTTTGACTTTACTGAATGTTAATATGAATAGACACAAATTGGCACCAAGCATATTTGTGGTCCACAGAATTAAAAATGTGCTTTTAATCTCAGGATCTGAGCTTCAGGGAACCGTCCAAGAAGTAGAGAACCTGAGGAAGGAAGTGGAAAATCTTAAACACTCTGGTGAGACAGATTGATGGAAACTTTTCAGATGTTTTTTTTTTTTTTTAAACTATTTTAAAATTTAGGTGGACAAAAAATCACTATGTAGATATTTGTATCTCAGTATAAACTGTGCTTGTTTAGTTTTGCTTGTATTTAATCTGTATTCATAGGAAAAATAAGGATAATGTAAAAACTTTACTCATCTAGTAAATTGTTTATTTTTTATTCTTTTAGATTTAATACATTTTAAGACTTTAGTCACTGTTAGAGAGAAGCTACTTGTAATTCTACAACACTGGAGTAAAAAAAAAAAAATCGTTATATAAATGTTACAAATATTTCCCCTTTGCCTGATATTCAGTTCAGTGACTGCAACATAATTCGTACACCACTATGCTTGACAGTTGCTATGAGGTGTTTGTGCTGGTCTGCTGTGTTGCTTTTCACCAAACGGGGTGCCATGCATTATGGCCAGGCATCTTTACTTTAGTCTCATCTGGGCAGTTTTTTCAGAAGTTTTGCGCTGTTTGCAAACCTAAGCCGTGCCCTTTTCTTTCTTAGAAAGAAGAGACTTTCTCTTGGCAGTCCTTCTAAATCACCATATCATGTTCAGCCATTTTTTAACTGTGCTGTCATGAACTTTAACATTTAAAATGCTAAATGAGGCCCGTAGAGTCTGAGTTGTAGCTCTTGGGTTCTTTTGAATTTCTCAGAACATTGCATGGTCAGACCTCGGGGTGAATGACTGGCATTGTTTTAACACATACCTGCTCCAGAGCAGAAAAAACAGCTACTCTTGCTGCTTCCTTGTCTCAAGAGGTTTCCACAATCTGTGCCTCTGCATATTTGATTTGGCAGATTTTTATACCGCTCCTCATGCAACCCTCAGGGGATTTGTATCCTCTCCTTAGATCAAACTGGGCATCTATGACTTGTTAGACAAATATGTAAACCACTATTACTATGGCTATACTGCAAACTGCCAAAACCTTCTGCTTTTATAGGGATGATCACATTTGCTGATCACCGGCATTTTAATCTCACATTAATACATTTTTCACTCCACAGATGTGATGAAGTTGCAGCAGGCTAAAGAGCAAAATGACAAACTAGATGCTGAGAACAGAGCTCTGAGGGACAGAGTGCGTATTTTGGAGTCAGAGAAGAAAAATCTCCTTGACCAGGTTAGTATTTACAGAACATACCTATTAATTTATTATAACAAAATGAATAAAATAAGTTATGATAGAAGCTTGGCACTGACTGGTGTTGTATTTTTTTTTTCACTTGGCAAAGAATGATGCAGCCAAAGAAGATAGAAAAGATAAAAGTGTTTGCAGTGACCAACAAAACAATCTGTCTGCTTTATCAGCTCAAGAAAAAGACCACATTCACAAACGGTAAAAACTTGAATTCCTGGATAACTACATTATGATGGGTATTCACAATCTGCTCTCTCTGGCTGTTTAATTGTAATTTATTGACGGTTAGGTGTCAAGAGGCTGTGGAAGATGGGCTTGTGCAGGTGAAAGACCTGCAGCGACAACTGCAGAGGCTACGCAAGGAACATGAAGAGCTGGAGGAGAGGAACGAGGAGCTGGAGGCCTTGCTGGGGGAAGCCCAGAATGCTAGCAAAGAGGAGAGGCATCGACATGAGGGAGAACTCGAGGGCCTGCGAAGAAGGGTACTTATCAGAACTGGTTCAAATATCAAATATCAAACTCATTTTACATTGTGGGCCACAAACAGCCTGTAAAAACAAATGTGTAAAATTACAGAAAAAGTTCTGGTAGCCCATTGTCCTGACTGTCATGTAATTATAAAACACATTTTTTGTTAATTCACAGAATTTTTTTTAACCATGGACCTGTTGTAAAAAAAAACGAACAAACAAACCAACAAAAAAAACCATATGCTTCTATAATTGTGTGTGTGTGTGTGTGTGTGTGTGTGTGTGTTCCTGTCTAGCTGTCTTTGTGAGGACTGAAATCTGCATTCTACTATACTTGTGAGAACCAACAGTCACTTGTGAGGACACACAACCCAGTCCTCACAAATTTGAAGGCATTTAAAGGCATTTTTGAGGCTCAAAATGTGGTTTTAGTGTCAGGGTTACAATTAGGTTATGGTTAGGTTTAGGGTAAGGGGCTAGGGCAGGGGTGGGCAATTCCAGGCCTCGAGGGCCAGTGTCCTGCAGGTTTTAGATCTCACCTTGGGTCAACACACCTGAATCACATGATTAGTTCGTTACCAGGCCTCTGGAGAACTTCTGGACATGTTGAGGAGCTAATTTAGATCAGCTGTGTTGGTTCAAGGACACATCTAAAACCTGCAGGGACACCGGCCCTCGAGGCCTGAAGTTGCCCACCCCTGGGCTAGGGAAAGCATTATGTCAATGAAGGTCCTCACTAAGATAGCTGAAAGGGGTTGTGTGTGTGTGTGTGTCTATCTGTCTTTGCCACACCAGTTCTGGCTCCAGACCTTATGTTTGACACCCCGGCACCAGAAACTCTAAAGAAAGCTGTTTTCACAGTCATTAATTACTAATGGCAGTTTACTATAGTTTAGTTACAGATTTACCTAATGACTAATAGCCTTACATTTCTATGCAGATCACAAACCTGGAGGCAGAGATAAAGAAGCAGAAAACCCAAGAGAAAATGTTGCAGAATGGAGAAGAGGTCAAAACCACAGAGTCCTACTTAAAGTTGGTAAGAAATGCCCTTTAATCATTACACAACACTGCGCGGTAAGAATGCAGTAGCCGTGGAGGTCTTAAGTACACAAATTTAAATGAGTAACTAAGGTAAAGCTCACTACAAAGTACAAAGGGGGTGCGAGTTATGATGTGACATGAATAACTTTTTTGTTTGTTTTTATGCAGTATGTCTGTTTCTGTGTTCTTGTCCCACCATATATGAAGCACCTAAGGAACAGTGGTCAAGAGAGCCTGGCTATGCTTGAGGCTCGTCTGACTGAGGAGAAAGACTGGAGGAAACAGCTGGAGTTGGACCTCAGTGCTGCACAGGCTGCCCTGAAGAAAGAGAAAGAGGTAAAAACTAGACTTTTGCTTTGTGTGAAATACAAAACAGAAACGCCACACGTACACAGAAATTCAATTTAGGACTGATGCAAAGAGTTACGGTTGTATTTTCAGAATGTTTTTAACAATGTTACAAACTAAATGCCACACAGTTACCACGTGTATTCTTTGGGTGTTATTCTTTGGTTCTTTACACCAAAGGCTTTGCAGATAAGTGAGCGAGAGCGAAACAAACTGAGACTTGAGAACAACAGCCTTCATATAGAATGCCAACAGGGGAAAACACTCATCAAGAGTCTCACTCAAGTCAAGGTGGAAAAAACACTTCTGGAAGAAAAGGTTTGTTAATTTTTCATTTTAAACATAATGAAACGGTCACAGTCTTTCTTCAGAGGAAAATGGTTATAGACTAGAAACATTTTGGCAGAAATAGGCCTTTGGTGTAAATGGTTTAAAAAGTAAAAATACCTTGCCCACAAAACAGCTTTAGAGTATATGAAAACAGGTGTGTGTATACTACTAAAATATCTTGACTCCTAATTAATTAAATAAGTTTACCAATGAGTCTAATAAATCCCAGATAAAATCAAAAAGCTCAAGTGCAAGTGTGCTGTTAAGTTTGTAGGCGTCTTCACTGTGTTTAAGTGGTGAATGGACAGCAATTTTAAAAAGCACTACCGAGAGACTGGGGATTTCTTTATTTAATTATTCAAGTTTTATTTATGATTATGGATATATGGGACATTCATTGGGGGCAAGAAATGAAGGAGAAAATTTGGAAGCATAAACAGAGAAACTTGAAGCGGCTTTGGGATTTCTGAAAGACACCCTTCTCTTTCAAATCTGACTTTATGAACTAGCTCTTTACACCCTTGCAGGATGATAACCACTGTATATGCAGGCTATTATGCATATGATAAAATAACAAACTGATATTTGTGTTCTTTGTATTTACTCTATTAAAAAGAGAACATTTCTTGACTAGAATTTCACTGATTATCATATGAAACAAAAGATTTTCCAGCTTCAAATTGACTGGTTCATGATTATTAGGTAATACAAAATTATAGCATATTAAACAAACTTCAGACTCTTAGCATAAACATAAGGTATTTCTGACACTGAAAATTAGAAGTACATTTATTAACTATTCTCCAAATAATGTACTTATTTTACAAGACTTCCGTGCAGGGCTGTACATTACGTGTCAGTATAAATATGTCAGTATGAATTTATAGCATGCATTAGTTTGACATTTACACCCCCCAACTTGAGTTTCTCATCAACTTACCGTCTTTAACTCTGTGGCTGTCAGGTCTCCCAGATGGAGCGTGCCTATAGCAGACTCCAGGGAGAGCTGCAGTGCTACAAAGACAGTAAGCAGACCCAAGAAGAGATGAAGGAAAACATGCTACACGTCAGCCAGCTGCAGGAACAAGCTGACCAGCTTACTGCTGAACTTAGCAGCCTCCAGACAGCACACAACAGCCTGAGGTTGTTTTTTAGTTCCAGTCCTACAATAAGATAAGATATTTTATTCATTGCATATTTGGGAAATTCAAATAATATATAGTACATGTATGGTATTTATGAGATGTGGATTGAAGTGGATCATTGTTGGATGAGAACTGATATCACTGCCTCAGTTGTTACTTGTACCTTTTTTCATAGTCAGTGATGAGATAAGACTGGAACATTGTAGCTTACTTACTTTGCATATATGTGAATATTTCCCAGAGATGAGATGGCTTCTGAGCGGATGCAGACTGCAGAGCTACAGGCCAGGCTAAGCTCTAGTGTTCAGGAGAAGCTAGCAGCAGAGGGCAAACAGGAGAGATTGGAGCTGGAGATCCAGCGCCTCGTTAAGCAGCTTCAGTGGCACCAAGACCAACTATCCACCACGAAGGAAGTGCTTGGCAGCAGCCAGAAGTCTGAACTGCACATAGCTCATTTTGAACCTAGAGTCAGTCCAGTGGAAAACCGCAGAGAAGAGTGCGTGGCTCAGGTAACTGGATTGGTTTCTTTAGGTGGGTTAGGGTAAATGGGGTATTTCTTATGCCAGAATTATAGAAGATGGATATAAATGTTTTCACTGCCTTCTTTGGGGCAGGAGCTGAGTGATCTACAGAATAAGCTAGAGAAGGAGCGGCAGCAGGGTCTTGAGCACAAAATGGCCCTCGAGGCTCAGGTCAATGAAGCCCAGGCACATATTAAGGTACATATGAAAAACAAAAATCTATTCTGTATGTTTATTATGTAACTGGCTCTTTATTGCTATAATTGTCATACTGTAGCAGCTGCATTAGCCTTTATGCTTTAAGCAGCTGACATCTTAATATTCTTATTAATTAGCAACTTCAGCAATTTTACTGAAAGACAGAAAGCCGGAATTTTATGGCAGTCTACCTCTCTTTTGTATTGTAGTAATAATAATGATAAAAGTAATAATGTCGTAATTATTTTCATCATTAACACAGAAGCTTCGGATGGCCTTCTTTCACTAATGTTCCATTAAAATTACAGAAGGGCCAGTTGTGCGACAGCCACATCTTACTTGAGGACACTTGACTATCTCTGTTCATTTGCTAAATTAGCATAAACATGAACACTGACACTGTGTCCATCTTTAGTCCCAAGATTCGGTGCTGAAGCAGAAGACAGAAGAAGCTAAACAAATGAAGCAAGACCTGCAGAGGGCCCAGAGCCTGTTTACCTCAGCGGAGAAAGAGTTACGCTATGAGAAAGAGAAGAACTTGGACCTGAAGAGACACAACACGCTGCTGGATCAGGAAAAACTCAAGGTGAGTATTCCCTGAAACCCTCTGTTTATCACTTAATTTACTTAGCACTTCCTCATCTTCATTCCACTGTTAAGAGATGTCTAAATAGGAAGCGATTCACAGCAACATGACGGCCAAAGACCGCTGGATGATTTTAAAGCGATGATGGAAAAAATAACCACAAATGAAGTGACTACTGTGTTAGCAAATAATACTGTAGATTGACATATGAAACTGGTAACTACATAGGAGTGTTACTTAGGCGATCATAACCTGAAATCTTCGTTATCAACCAACCATCAGCAGCAAGGTGATGCGCGACATGCAGATCACTTTCTGTGTGGACAACCCTCACTTGAGCTACTAGATACTTATATTAACTTATGAACAAATGTGTAACTGCAATCAACATGTAAATGAACACTCAACATCTTTTTTTTGTTTGTTTGTTTTTTTACATCTGCTGTCCTCCCACATGTTTTCTCAGCTTAGTGCAGAAGTGAAGCAGGTCCAGACAAAGCTGGTACAGATGGAGCAGAAAGTCACTGGTCAGGCGGCCGAGTGTGAACATCAGCAGCAGAAAATCAGGCAATTGGAGCTGGAACTGGCTCGTAGCTCCGCAAACCGCAATGCCACTACTAGTCTGCAGGGGGACCTCCAGGCTGAGAGGGCACGACTCATCGCTGCTGACAAGAAGGTTAGCATAACTGTAAAGACTCTAGTCCGGTGTGAAATCTGGATCGCCTGGTTTGTCAGTGTGTCAACTGTTATTAAAGGCTCCAAGTGGTTTTATTCAACAGTTATGTTATTCTTGCTGTAGTTGTTCTTATCAGTGAAATAACCAGTGACACCATACTGAGCGCTTAATGGAATATCCAGTCTATGACATGTTTTGGTCCTAAGCAAATGAAGTTAATGCTTTTCTGAACATTGAGTAAGATGAAGAAGCGGTTGCAGTCAACATTATTTGCGAACATTGTGGAGTATTTTTTGTTTGTTTGACATCATAAGGAAATCCTGACATATTTTGTTGATGGGTGTAAAGTTAGGAGCTTGTGTTTTTGAGCAAAACCTGTGGTTCTGTTGTGGTTTGGAAGGTCCTGGAACTACAACAGCAGCTTAAGTCTGTCCAGCACCAGCTGCGTGTGGAGGAAGCTCGTGCAGGCGAGACCAACCGCTTGGAGAGGGAAAGCAGGGATCTATCTGACGCCTTGTTAGCTCTGAGAGCCCAGCAGCAGGAAGAGCACATCACCAGGTTCCACAAAGTGCAGCACAGCTGACACTGTCCTTTTTCTTCACCTGCTTTTTAAGAGCTTTGAATAGTCTTTTTTTTTTTCTTCTTCTTCTTCCGGTCTCCTCTCAGGAAGCTGTTAGAACAGCGCGAGGAGGAGCTGCAGCAACAGGTTCGCTCCTTGAGGCATAAGGAGGCCTCATTGACCAGGACAAATGCAGAGCTCAGCCACCGTGTCCAGCAGCTGGACACCCGTCTATCCGTCCTGGAGGCTGAGCTTAGCAATGCTAGAGAGGAGGTGAGGAATGTTGTACCGTGCTTCCTAAGATCTGCTGTGGCACTTGAGGTCTCATTGAACTGAAAGCTTTCCCTGAAAAGTGACAGTCAAAACATACACCCATTCCAAGTTTGCTACACGCCTTAAAAGGAGTGTGTTATTAAGTGTCTTGTTTGTTTGTTTTTTAAGGCGCCCTGCTGACAGCCCATATCAAACATTGTTTGCGCAGTATGTATCTTCTGTCACTTCCTCTGTTTTCGAGCTAAGATTTCAATCCTTTGCTGCACACCAGAAAGTTTTTCAGAGGAATGTGTACTCAGTTTTGACAGTAAGCTGCTATACAGGGCACATTTAACCTATTAAGTACATTATTTAAGATTGCTTAATTGCTGACAGATATACAAAAAAAATCTATCATATTGCAAGAAGTTTGCTGTCAGCGCTTCACTGCGTTTAGCACGACTGTACATTTTATGCACTTGTAATATCTGTTGAAATGTATATGTTCTGTAGGGAAAGGACAGCCAGGCGTCACGTCAAAAGCTGCAGGAGGAGCTGTTGGCCAGTCAGCAGGATTGTAAAGGACTGCAGGATGAGCTGCAGCAGGTTCTCCTCCAACTCGACGTGCATGTCAGGTTAGATGCATCTAACAACCATAATATAAAATAAAGTAAATGGTAATTAGGTTACATTAACCTTTTGCCTTTCTTGCTCTCACTCGCCTCTGCTCCACCAACCAGAAAGTACAATGAAAAACAGAGTCAACACAAGACCAAACTGCGTCAGGCCAAGCAGGTGTTTCTAAAGTCAACCGAACAGAGAGACAGCACCATCCAGAAACTGGAGAATGATCTCGAGCTTGCTTCTATGCTTTCTCAGAAGGTCACACACATGAAGCAGAATGCTGACTCCTAAATATTCCTGAAGAGATGTGAAGCACTGTAGAAAAGTGTTCTTCAAAATCTGTTTTCATTCATTTTTCTCTTGTCTTCTGAATTGTGATAGGACAAAGAGAGGATCCAGTTAGTGATGGAAGTCAATGAGAAGCTTTTGGAGGAGAAGAGGGAACTGGTGCAGAAGATAATTGAGGCCGAGGAGATGGGCAGCAAGGCCATGAAGACCGCCTCAACAGTCCAATATAGGTATCCTCAGTCACTGTTTACACATGTACATGATGCAGAACAGCATGAATATTACTCTTTTGATTATTTCAACCAGAAGTATAAAATACTATTTGTTAACTTCATTAGTTGCATAATGCAGTGCTAAGAAATCACATTTACTTGTACATATATTGAGATGGTTGGAAAGCTTTATATTTAGTATTTAACACAACAGAATCATGTTTTTTAGTTGTTAGCCTGAATGTTTTTGTAACTAAAGATGTGAAGAATATGTTGGAAAAATTATTGTGAAGTTGTGAGTGAATGCTGTGAACATTATTGTGTTCAAGGGTTAACCTCTTAGAAGTGGAAAACAAACAACTGCAGGACGAAACCTTGAAACTCTCCAATCAAGTCAGTTCTTTAGAGCGTGCTCTGAGGAATGTCCAGTCACTCTACAGCATGGAGGTAGCTCTTTATACATCTTTATGTTTTTGCAAAATTTTTCTATACTCATATTAAAAATGACAGGATTGCCATTTCACTAAATGACTGGTGTTTTTTTTTGTTTTTTTTTAATAAAAGAAGAATAAAAAAACTGTAAAAATGTTTCTCATCTCAGTGTATTAAAAAAAATATGTTTGCATGCTTGCTAATACATTTTAAATGATCAACAGAATGCCAGAAAAATGCTTCCCACTGATGCTCTCACTGACAGCATCCTACATACGTCTGCACTAAGGTAAGACAATTTTAAGAGAACAGCTTGCTGACCTAAAATATTGATTGATATTTGTAATTTGGGCAATTTTCATATCATCTGTGGTTTGTCATCAGTTTGACGTCAGGTTCTGGTAACAAACTGGGCGTCCTGGATGCAATCTGTCGGGTGAAGGTGGACGATGGTGTGCTGGCAGATGGCACCCGGACACCTTTCACCATACACCAACCTTCAGAGCAGGGATACCTGAATCTCACTTCCCCATTGATTCCTCTAGCCTCTGCCAAAGGGGCGGAGGAGAGCTCTAAAAGCAGTGACCCGGTATAAGAAATGGTACGATGTCTGTCTTCATCTACAGGGAAAAATCTGTGTAGAAGTAATGAATATATATTATATATAGAATCCAAATTATCCTTGTTAAAAGAGTAATAATGAAAGGGAGCTTCCACTACATTTCTGCTCAGGACGGTGTCTACGTTTGATGTGTTAGCAGGTTCTTCTTTGGCTGGGAGGTACATGTGTATATATCAAGTCAGATTTTGAAAGAGGGAAAATTTGGGGGGTTTGTAAAAAAACAAAAAATGCCTGTGCTAGTGTCAATACGATATTTTTATTACATATTTTCAAGGGGCATTATCTAAAAGGAGATTTGACTTGGTAGCTGAAGAAGTGAATCGATTTTGTAAAAAAATCTAAGCCGTCTAAATATTTAAAATCACATTAGTGCTTTTCACGCTAATGCAGTGAATGTCTCTTCATGAGGAATATTTGAATGGTACTAGTTTAAACTGAGCACTTTACAAGATGTTTAACTCGTGTTTACATTTGGGGAAAGTGTGGGCTATTAAAGGTATGCATTTTCCCCAATTAAATTTAACCTTGGCAGTGTTCTGATGCCGGTGAGTGCGAGCGTGTGCTGGTGGATGGTGCCCGGACACTTTTCTCCACACACCAACCATCAGGGATACCCGAGTCTCTCTTCCACATTGATTCCTCTGGTCTCTACCAAAGGCACAGAGGTGATAGTAATGAATGTTTCAAAGACATTTTAAAAAGAATAAGCATTTTTATAAATGTAAAAAAATCGTACTCATTTCATATCAACCATAAAGACAGACTCAAGATAGACAAGGCGGACTCACTTTTTCGTTTAATTAGAGATTGCCATACACTGAAAGTAAATACTGGACTCTGTTCAGAGATGAGTACTTGCTACAATCAGTGCTTTATTTACTATTTATAGTTTTATTTTAGTCTGCAAAGTCACACAATTCCAGGCATTTTTTTCCTCTTTTTTTACACTTTTTTTTCTGTTCTCCAAGGACCCGCTGTTTAAGGTATTTGTGCTTTAGTCACAAAGACGATCAGCAGTAAGACTTTAGCAATTTGCACATGGTATTAAATACAGGTTTTGTATCCACCGTTATACAGTGTCTTTTTGTTTTTTGTCTTCAACGTGCCTGAAATGACGAAGTGTGAATACATCTGATAACAAAAACGACATGGGAACAATGAGATGTAGTCAATAAGAAACTTTCACTCCTGTTGTATTTGTACAAATGCATTTTTAAAAAAAGCTATTTTCATAAATAAAGACTGATAAATAAACAATGCTTTTTGTTTGTTTTTTTTATTTCCCCTACATCTCAATGTGCACTGTTGTGACTGAGCGAAGGATGCAAAGCTGCTTTAATTTTACACTGATAACATTGAGTTTAACATCTCTGGAGTTGTTTTTTTTTTGTATTTGTAATGAATGAAAATATATGAAATATTTTAGAATGAAATTACTGCTATTACCATCTGCTTTTTAATAAAGTTGCTCAGGAGAGTTTTCACTGTAATTGTTGCCTGACATGCATTAGCTTTAAATCCTCGTTGAGCAACAATATTATTATAACTGCATATTATGCATTTCACACTTCTCATCTGTGTGGGTATCAGTGTAAAAACCAAAAACAGGAAAAAAAACTCAAAAAGCATATCAATCATATTTGGATTTTTTATTGTGGTTTGCTTTATGTTTTTTTGCTGTAACTCGACAACAAGGCGAAGTATGGTATCAAATTGATACCATAGGTGTATCTACTAGAAAATCGTTGAATCTCAGTATCTTCCCCCTTAAAGGTCAGAGGTCAAGTGTTCTGAAAATCTTGTGATTGCAAAAACTTGAGAACAAGGCGATGTAGGATTTTGAAATATAATAGGTGTGTCTACTAGGAGGCTGAGGGGGTAGCACTGGCAGATGCCAGTATTTTTATAATTTATAAAGATATAGAAATAACTTTAAGAGGGTCTCTTGGAAATTTTCCATTCAAATCAATTTAAAGCTGTTTGTCGTTTTATCATTGGAGAAGAAATTCTGTCATAATCCTTAAATTATGATATGTTTTGAACTCAGTTTTGTAAATGAGAACAAAATAATAATTTTATATTTTTATTGTTTGGATGAAAGAGTTCTAAAGTTACTGTTTAGGGTGGGTGTGGTCCTTTTCAAAACTCTTTCCCTTAAAAAAAAATATATATATAAATAAAATGCACAGAATCCTATTTAGTATTATGCATGTGTGGAGGTTTTATGTTGACATGATAGTGAATAAACTGTATTGCAATACCTGTTTTAAGTTCTTAAATCTTTCCTCCAAATAGCACTAAACAGATACCGAAATGCATGTTACACAATAAAAATGAAACTGAAAAAAAGAAAAAGTAGTTGAAACTAAAATCAAATGAACAATCTGATCTAAATAAATGATCTAAAAAGTACAAATAAAAGGAGCATTAATGTTAAATAAAGTATTAACAAGCACAACCTAAATGATGTGAAATGCTTCCCAAAGTGTTTTAACTAAGTATTATAGAGCGAGGCTCTTGCGGTGTGAGCAGCTCTGTCAGCGGTTTTAGTGACATTTCGGCCATCGCAGTAACAGGAAGAGGGCTGTAAACAGGAAGCCTTAGTAGCTGGTGAGCATCCTGCAGGCCACAGATGGGCTGTAATAACAGTTAAAGAAAGGATCTGTCATAACTGGTTTACTTAATAGGAAAAAGAACCTCAGTGTTGATATGAAATATGGCGATAAAGGTTTTGAAAAATGCTTTTAAAGTAATAGTGATTCCTTAAAGTGCATGGCAGTGCAGGCAGACATGCACAGGAATAGTTTGGTATTAGAGTAATAGACATGCATGAACTGTAGTACCTCTTTTATCCTCTGGGTGGCTGTCTCCATTCGAGGATCTCAGCAAACGAAACCTTTTTTTTTTAATCATCCTCCAGTCAAATAAGTTTATTAGTGAAACATAATTGCTGCTTAAGATGGATCACTTCCTAACAATAGCCAAGATTAAGTGTTTCATTAGATTGCTTTAATGTTTAGATCAAAATTAGGAAATCTGATAGTCTCATAAATCTTGTTCATAAAAATGGCATTATTCAGACAATATTTCTTGTCAGTGTCTCTGAGATGCTTCACTGTGGTATAACTATGTAAATATATTCTGTGTTCCTTTGAGATGATTGACAGGCATCCCCTGAATCCTCAAACAAGTAGAGATATTATATATGGGTTATTATACGGGGTGCAGTGAGTAGAGAGGACTAATTTTACCCCCAGGAGTGGAAAGGCCGTGCAATTTACATGTCCAGCCGTCATGCCTATAGCAAGCTTAGTAGCCAGTGGGATTTCATCGGTGGGCTTTTCAAGATCTGACATTTGTTCTTACTGTCAGCTGGTTTCAAATGTTGTGTGGAATACTGGACAGTTTGAAAGGTTTGTATGCTGAATACTTTTGCACATGCATGTTTCAAACCCATAAACAAGGTTAGAAATAAGTATTTTCATAAATTGGCTTTATTAAAAGAAAATTGAGGTATGTTTCACTTTGCATTCTCAGCCATCCGAACCTTCTTTCATCTCCATTGCTTCCCCTTTTATTCCTCCAATGTTTTCCCTCTTCCTCTCGTCCTTGGGAATTCAATCATGGAATAGTGTTGCTGGAAACCTTTCCTCTATGTATTCATGTAACAAGGCTTGGCTGGTGGGTGTTATTGTATGTCCTTGAAATGATGTAGATGCTATCAGTTTCACTGCTGGCTGTGAATGTTGAACGTGTGAATGAGGTGGAAAAAAAGATGGTTCGGTGCGACTGTAATCGAGCAGATGACGGTGGTGATGACTGGAGTTGTGAGAGCTTCAAATAAGGTCATCTACCCACGTTTATGGCCGTATTATTCCTTTTCTACTGTCCTCAAACACAGGCTTATAGATGTGGCCATGTAGCTATGAACAACAGCAAACTGATATATGCACAACGTGGACGGGGGGAATTTTATTTTTTTATTTTTTTAAGGATGTCTAGCTTTCTGAAATTAAATATGGACCTGTTTCATGAACTATTAAAGAAAATGTTGATGTAGTAACAAAGATATAAAAAGCTTGTGCAACCTAGGTTTCCTATCTCCAGCATCATGACAAAATCATATGACAAACGTGATAAATGGACATAATTCAACTCATCTTGTGCTCTTGTGCCCCAAAACAAGACTCGGAGCCACCTCTTGACCTCTAGGCCCCTCCCCTCTAAGATCTGCTACTGAATGATGTATTGCATTGTGCATTAACCTGCCATTGACCTCTCTATGCTAAAACCAATTGCCATATTATCTCCACTGTAATGTCCCACTCCCAGTGAATCAGATTTTGTCTCCCACTTTACCCCCGGGCTTAAAAAAAGAGGAAGAAGAAAAGTCTTGAATGAGCGAGAAGAATTGGGGGTTGTGGGGTGTGAGGGGTTGGACCCTGACTCACCAAAAAGTCAGGTAAAAGCACACACTGAAGAGCTCCAAATGAAAGGGGAAATTTCAGGTGAGCATGTAAAGCATCATTTTCTGATTAGAAACAGAATTTAGCTCTTTAGCGCTGGCCTCTCTGACGGACACCTGACACTAATGTCTCCAATTATTGCCAGCAGGCTTGACAAATAATTACTTTTCTTATTACGATCAATGTGTTTGACCCACGTGTCCGCTTGCTGTGCTAATACCAAGAATAATGATAATCCCTCAGATAGTGTTTTGAAGTCAAAATAATACTAATGCCTGTAATGATGAAGCATGCTCGCAAATCCCTTCCCGTCATCCCATTGTCTCCTGTGGTGAAGATGCTGGCCCCCACGGCCCCATGGGATATCTGTAATGTATTCAGCCAGGCCTTGGGAGTAAAATGAAAACAAATGTGGTGTAATAAAGGAGAGAAGATGAAGCGATTCTGTGATGATGCTCTCTACTAGCCTTATAAATCAAAATAAAAGTGGAGCAGGTCATATGTGCCCCTACCGTCAGTGGATACACCCACATCCCCCCATACACACACATATATATATATATTGCATGTGTATGTATATACATATATATGTGTGTGTGTGTGTATAGGCACACATGTGTACGAAAACCTGGGGTAAGAAGAGAAGAAATCAGAGGAAAAGTCTGTGGAACATTGTTTTATTCATTTTCATTCTATTAAATCAGAATACAAGGTTGTATTTATTGTCCACACAGAAAACCAAGCCCGGCTGTTCTTGGATTTTTCTCCTTTACACTTAATCACCAAAACAAGATCTTAGCTTCTTTTTTTTTAAACCTTTACAACAAAGTATTTGTGGCCCATTGTTTTGGTCGTACGTCATTCACGACCTACAAAGAGATTTTTTCTTTTCTATTTTTTATTTTAATGTGCAAGTTTATTTTCCTGCCCTGCCCATCTTATTTTTAGACGTCTAAAGAGGTAAAATTAGCCAGTAATTCACAAGCAAAGATTAATAGAAGCGCCCGGAATCATGAATTTAATTTTGTGCAGTATAAACGTTTTGTCTGCTTCCCTATCCCGTTAATCGTCTCGTGACCTTTTGAATTTATCTTGCAATCAACCTGCAGTTTGGAAACCTCTATTACTGTAATTAAACCTGACTGGAGCTGATGGCAGCGCCGCTGTGTACCTGTAGGGGCTGCTGTGGTGTTGGTGTACTGTATCAACAGGAAGGTTGATGATGGTTACAGTAGCAGCAGCAGCAGCACTCATTATACAGGAAATCCAGAAAATTAAAATGTGGGGGGAAGAAAAAAAACAAACCTCACAAACAGCTGGCCCATATTTTAATCAGATGATTGAAGACTCAAAAATGTATTGAGAGGGCGAGTATGTTTGATTTTAAAATTGCCACCCTCACAAATCCGTGGCTTCGTTTGCCAAGTTTTACAGTCCTAAATAATATTATTTTATTCTTCTTTATATTGTTTATGCAACATTCGCAAATACAACGTCCCTTTCAAACCTAGAAACTCTGACAACACATTTGAGACTTCAGCTGACAAGGGGTGCTGCTTATTACATGGATAAAGAATAGTAAACAAAGGGTACGATAAATTATTGATGCCTAATAAGTTGAGGCGACTGCACTGAGGTTCCTTTTATTATTATTATTATTTTTCTTTATTTCTGGCCAAGAATAGAGAAAGCCTCCTGAGTTGTTTATTTCCTTCCTCCTTTTCTTTCTTTTCATGTCCTTCTCATTTTACGAGCCATGAGTCAACACAGCACACGTAAAT